CATCACCTAGCAATTTTCCACTGTATGTGGTTCATTATTGACAGTAAGGAGCCAGGGCTGTTTTTTTGAAGACATAACTGTTTGAAAATAGAAATGAAAGTAATTCATTAAAAATCCCATTTGATTGACTTTTAAAATAGGCTTGTGTGCAGAGTTTATTAGGGATCCTCGGAATAAACCTTTATTGTCACTGACTTACATTCATTCACTTACTGAGAAACCTTCATATGACAGGCATTGGGTATTAGTCATCATGGCATAGTGTTAAAGGTCTACAATATGTGGGATAAACTCATTTTGCAGATATAAGAGCATAGGATGAGTGCAAGTGTGTTTACTCTACTATAAATCTGCTGTTTTTCCATTTATTTTTACAAAATAAATAAACTAGTCAGATTTTAGGGTTTATTTTTGCATTTGAATTGACCTTTCGCTAAGCCCCGCCCCTTTGTGATGGTCCGTCAAGCTGTTGAAGTAAGCATGGAGCCCACACTCTAACTAACTAACTGCACTCCCTAAAGAAATATTATCATATTTTTGTAAGAATGAAGCAGTGATCCCAGAGAGAAGCAGACAGAGCGGTCTACAGTCTGTGTTTGAAGGATATATCCAGGATGTCAAACTGACTCAGCAGCAACAACAGATTAAAAAGACAAAGATAGTTAGAAGCTAAAGCCGAACTATAGGCTACAGATCACAGTGTAAAAGTGAACCACCACATCACTGCTGATCGCCACACAAGACAATGAATATAAACAGAAACTTTGCTGATATTAAACCAGCTGTGTGGCTTCGCCCCATGCTGCTGCCAGCCAGGGGAAGTCAAACAGTGTTCATCTGCTCACAGTGTGATGACACACAGCTGGTTGAATATCAGCGAAGTTTCCCTGCTTCCCTTCACTGGTTCCTGTACAGCAGGGTTGGTCTTTTTGTCACTGTTATAATCATTAAAAAGCAAAAGCAGCATGTGTACACATTCAGTAGGCTATATCTTCAGTAGTTAGCTAGCTAACCCTACACTTTTCAGGGTCTGATTTTGGTTTTGGAACAGGGAAGAAATGTATATCTTTTTCCAACCTCTCCAGGTAACAAGTATCATTAATACACGATGTGCCCCAGGCACAACATTTAGCTCCAAATCCACAAAACCAGCCTGAAAATGAAGGAAATCTGAAACAACTGCATTAGAGTCAATGGAGCACTGCTGTGTTGTTGGACCCTGGTCTGAGCCGGCCGTTGCTACGTTATGATTGGCCAGTCTACGTCCAGGGGTGGGACTTAGCGAAGGGCCAATGTGTACTTGGATTATGAAACAATGGAGACCCTTAGCATACAGAAACTGTGTTTATACTCTTTGCTAGTTATGTGTTACAATGTAGCAAATACGTTGAAACATAACCTTGTCTTTACCTTTCAACATCACTGTGGTTAAAGTGTGGTTAGGTTTAGGTACTTGGTTTTTGACAAAGTCAGCTCATATACTGCATCACATCAGAAATGGTGATATGATATGTATGACACATACAAATGTAACGTATTTGTGATATGTGGAAACGTACAATGCCAACATTTTATTCTGGCATCTGATCTGACTATCTTACTGCAGGAAATAACTCTTTCTGTTTAATGATGACAAGGTAACAAAATACTCAACAGCAAGTCCCATGTTTAACAAGCTCACAGATCCAAGATTTGTTCTTTTAAGGACAACTTTAAATAGGGTCATGATTGACTGTAATTACTGGTGAGGAATCAGGAAGATATGTTAGCGTGTGCTGAGGGTAAAAACTCGAGCCACTGGATTAGCATTTCTTACATTTGTTTCCCTTTAAAGGCATACAGTGGCGTCAGATGTTGCTTATCTAGTGTGTGTGGTCACAGATGATCCAAGCTTTCCACTGCTGTAGCACTCTTCTACCTAACCGTCCTGCTGATTTTTTTCCTTAGTAAAAAACTGCATACTGCTACAGATGCAGCTGTCTGATGGACACTGTGCTCCACCACAGGCTCATGAGCTCCTTAGTAGCAGTAAAGCACTCAGTGGAGAATAAATACCTTGCGGTGTAACTACAGCCTTTAATGCATCACTTCCTACGTAATATAAATATACAAATGTGGACTTCAATGTAGGTGTCATGTCAACTGTAAAGCCGTTATAGCTTCTGCTACACGCTGGCAGCTAAATGATACTAGATGCCCCTCAGTTGTTACTATAACTCATATATATGGAGCTGCACTGTCACCTACGCATCAAGCGTGCCACTACAACAGTGGCTCAAAATCCCTCTGAACCTTGTTAGCAAACGTTACCACTGGATGTCACCAGTGCTCCACTGATCTACTGAGCAGGAGCAGCGCAGACTAAATTTAGACAAAGGGAACATGGTCAGTAAAGGGGGGGCTGGGGTTGTTAGGTTTACTCAAATGCAATACACAAAACCAAAGTAAATCAAAATAAGAATGAATAAGATTTAAACATATGAACAGAATATTAACTCAAATCTAAGTGACTTCAGTGGCATCCTGTACCTCCTCACATTTTTAATACTGAAGATTTTGCAAATAGCATCGTAGCTTTTACAAAGTTACACAGACAGCACAGTCTATTTTTCCAAGTCCAATTTCTGGAGTGTGGAGGTATTTCCTGATCCATACAAGTCCCATTACTCACACCCACTTTGTTCAGACTGCTGAACCCAGCAGAGTGGCAGTCAGGCAGCCTTCTCCACAGAGGACCGGTCTTGCAGTGATCAGCAAATACACACACTGCTCTAATCCCACCACCATGCAGCCTGTCCATGGTCAGTTTGCCTTTTCTTTTGCAGGCAACATGGCCTCAAATAAAAAAAGCTGTAAAGAGTTTGTCGCACCGACAGCACGACACACAGGTTTGCTATAAGCAGGCGCATTTATTCTCATTGGGCATGCACTTTCTTTTAGTTTCTTTTCAGGGACTTGAAATGAAGGGTGTTTATGTAATCAATATTTCCTCATGTGTAGACATTTTGAGTCAGTGTGGCACTTTTTGCTTTTATAGCATCAGTGTAGAAACAGAATGAAAGACAGCAGTTAAAAATGAAGGAGAACAGTAGCACCCACAGAAATGCTTCAAAGGGGTGGCCAGATGGGGCCACTGAAAACTAGGGTAGCACACCATAACCAAAAGCAGTAACTGAATTTCAGGAATTCTATTATGCTGTTTATGTATAGGCTAGTTGAAAGCTATGTCAATATGGGAGTTACATAATCATATACTGATATACTTTGATTTCTTATTTTAAGGTTAATATTATCTGACGTTCATAGACCAGTACCCTACTGGTACAGCTAACATTTTGAATTCCACAACAATCCTGTTCCAGTGCGTTAGATATCTATGCATGTTACGCCATTCATCGTTCTTCAGAGATGCAGGGTTGCCCTTTTCCTTAAAAAGACACTGACACATTGATTCATTCATTCATTCATGTTCTGTAACCGCATATCCTGTTAGGGGTCGTGGGGATGCTTGAGCCAATCCCTGCTGACATTGGGTGAGAGGTGGGGTACAGGTTGGCAGACTATCACAGGGCTAACACATAGAGACAGACAACCATTCATGCTCACATTCACATCTACGGCCAGTTTAGTAAGGAACAAAATAATTACTGTGAACAAGCCTTCTTAAATTAAGGGGACAGTCGTGGGTACCCATAGAATCCATTTTCATTCAAATAAGCACACCACAGCCTCTAAAAGAGTAACACCAGAGTGCTCCAGTCCAGAGACGCTGTTTCTCTGTAGGCTGACACCGAAGTAAGCGTCGCCCTGGTTCCACCCACCCCATTGAAATTTGGATGTTTTGTTCAGCAGGATGATCTTAACAAATGAACATGAAAAGCTAACATTCGGTTATAAACAAACTACACCAGGGTCGTATAACTTAACGTTGCCACCACAACGAAGCCGTGTTCAGCGTGATGACGTTCCTTAGTTTCATTTAGCCAGTTGTTAGCAACCACCTTTTTTTAAGACATATAAAGGCCTCAAAATTCATGAATAGGGTATTTACCCAGCCAATGTATGCAAAGCCTTATATGGAATTGTCCATAGGTTCCATATTGGCCCCATGCCAGTTGCCCACATGGCTGGGTGTAATCAAGTAAGCCCCACATACGCTATGCTAGGGTTACCTAGTTATGAAGTGGGTATATGCCCAAAATGGGCATCTTATCGGCCCCCACCCATATGGGCAATTGGCATAGGGCTAATGTGGAACCTGTGGACACTGCCATATATGGGCCGATTTTTCCATCCATTTACGACCTATATGTGCCCCACATACAAATGTTGGCTGGGTGCTGACATATTTTATGTTTTAGAACAAAACATGAAAGTTTCTTAAGCTCGTGTTCACCGCAGACCTCATTTCAGGCATCTAACCGAAAAAACATTGGAAAAAAGTCATTGTCTTTGAGACAAGGGGACCAGGAGTGGTAACATACTGACTCATTTCTGGGTGTTAGCACTCATTCCTGGGACATTCTATTGAATCAGGGGTCAAAGGGGTCATGTCCCCTGCCCCCCTTTCGGGAGCACCACTGAAAGAGAAAATGAACATTCTGTCCCACATGGCTAAGCTGTTTGAACTTTCAAATAAGCCTTTATAATGGTGCTCAAACTAATTACAGAAAAATGTAACTAAATCTATGGTTTACTGATATAAACGAACTAATACTAAACAATTTGTTGGTAAACCATAAAGAGTTACACTTTTTTAGCCTGTAGAACATTTCATTCTTCTTACCCACTATCGTGTGCAGGGATTTAAACAGATGTGAATCCATATGAGAATCACAGGTTCTTCCCTCTCGTTTGACAAAAAAATAGGCGTTTCCTGAGGACCAATCGAAACGCTATGTGTTTAACGCGTTGAGAAAAACAACATCACAATAGCCAATCACGAGCAAGTTCTGATGCTTTGGTTGAACTGTCTGTAATGACACGAGGAGCAGCTCCAAACTCATCCATTCATCTGTCTTCAAAGGAAAATTTAGACGTAGTTTTGCACTTTATTACAAAGTGTAAATATTGAATTCATTTTTTAATATCAGGAAACGTCTCGTTGCTACTTGTCAAAAAGTTTAACTTATGCTAATATGACAAAAATCCTCTTAGCGCACAGCGTTGTTAAATCTCTGAGACAAGGATGTGTGTTTGGCGGAAGAGTAGGAAACACGTCGGCCCTGCTGAGACTCCAAACTACTAAACTTTTTAGTGTCAAGGTAGGAAACGATGTGTGGGTGAAAACTATTGTTGTCAGCTGGTAAATGCACGAAACAAACTTTGTAAAGAGTTCACCAGAAGTGCTGCCAACGGAGCGCTAACGCTGCAGTATGCCTCTGAACTTCATGCCGAATCCCATAGAAAAATCTCTAAAGTCTGCAATGCCTTGCCTAAAAACAAATGTACAAACATATAAACAGTTGTTACAGCCTTTTATCAAAATCAGCAAGGCCTACTCCTATATTCGGCATAGATCCAGCACAACAAAAAGTTATTCTTTTAACATAACTCAAGCTGTTTTACCAGGTGTGATTCAGACGCTCCTGCAGTAGAAATGCAGCATGCTGTTCGGCAGAGCAGCGTAAAGAAGTTGAAAAAGTCGAATCTGCATTGAAATAAGCTCTGTCCGATGGACTATCATTACGCCGAACTGACAGTAGACTGGATGTGATTTAATAAAACATATTAAGTTATTTGTCTGAGGTATGTGCTTGCGATATTAAGAACGACTGCAGAAAATGCTGATTTTTGAATGCAGTTTGGAGCGGTGGCAGTCGAAAGAAACTAAACGCGTTAAAAAGTAAAATAAAAATGAATTTCGCACTGTTGAGTTGTTTTAGACTGCTGTCTCAGATAATTCGTCGCATGCAGCAGGTGGATCTCTGTGCATCATGTGTGTTAACCCGCAGGGAGAATTGCATCATGTATGAGATGTGCATTGATTACAACATCTGACAGACAGACAGACAGACAGGCAGACATTGACCGGATTTGTCTGTCTCAGCATTCACAGTACAATTCCCATTGTCCTGCAGTTTCAGCATCGAGTCCCACATCCATACTGGTTGCCATTACTCCTAAACTTAAAAAAGTCTGCAACACATCTGTTTCAAACTTTTGTCTTTGGTCTTTCCAAACTCGCTTCATATAAAGGGAATGCATTATTCTTGGGTGAGATTTATCTTGTCATCTGCCTGCTCTCTTTTAACTCCCAGGCCCAGACAGCCCACCTGGTCTTGGAGGATGGCACCAGGATGAAAGGATTTTCCTTTGGGCACGATGCCTCTGTAGCAGGGGAGCTCGTCTTCAATACCGGCCTGGTGGGGTAAGAAGTAGACATGCTGACATAAGTTGAACTAAGACAAAATTGTGCACTTGGACAAGTCCAATTTCAGGATACCAAATACTGAACAATCAACCCTGTTTTGAACCTGACAACCTTGCATTAAAGTGTATTTATTTAGTTTGAAAGTGATCGCAAAGTGCTGAAGATTTGCTTTGTCATCACCTCACGTTTCTGGTTTTAGGTATCCCGAGGCCCTGACTGACCCCAGCTACAGAGGTCAGATCCTGACTCTGACCTACCCTATTGTGGGAAACTACGGGGTGCCCAATAACCATGAGCTGGACAAGGTGGGCCTGAGAAAACATGTGGAGTCAGATCGCATCCAGGTAGGAAACCAAGTGGTGTTTTGGATGTGTCAGGCTTTGTGGAGGCTTCAGCGCTGTAATGTATTTATTACAAAGTTCTGCTTTGCTTCTGTTTGTCAGTCAGTGCTTCTCACTGGTCCAGACTAAGATATCTCAAGAACTGAGATGAAATGACGTGACATTTTTATAGGTGGTTGGGATCCCCAGAGGATAATCCCCACTGACTTCAGTGATGACCTTTTTCTTTAAGACATTTGTGGTTTTTAGTGAAATGACTCAAGTCCTATTAGCTTGATTGCGATGAAATGAACGATAAATAAGCATTTTCTAAAATGTCCTTGTGGAACTCTGGCACCTGTAGCATTGCCTGCATCTGTAACGTTGCTACAGTCAGACCAAGCTAAATTTGTGGCGTAAACAACACAGTGTTGAACATGCACCTAGAACAAAACCAGTTGTTCCTGTCATCAGCGCAACATTTTTTATCACCTACCTACAGAGAGAAATAGGTTGCCACCCATCTTATTTAATACCAGATTGTCCCGTATGTAAAATGTCTCTGTCTCTTCTGAATCAATACGAGACACGGTTAGTATTTTGGCACACAACCCACTCTTACTGCATATACTACATATGCGTGCCTAGAGTGACATTAGAAGTAATTCAACCAACAGAGTTTCAAGAGTGGAGAAGTATTAAATCAGAATTTGCGGAAGAGAAAACACCTAGAATAACAGGTCTGTTACACAGCGTCAGTACATGCTATCCCTGTCTTTCCCTGTCTGACTGGATTCTCAACGTACATTAGAAAATTACAGGTTATAAAATGAACGTTGAATGATGGGTTTGGTCATCTAGGCTGAGAATGTGTTACTGTTTAATCATGCTTCTTTTATATCATATAAAACAATTGCCTAAAGTTATTTATTTTACTACTACTTTATATAACTGGAATTGCTGTGTGCTGCTCAATTCGGCATAAATCAGCAGTCATAAAAAATGTCCAAACTGTATTGTTACAGCCAACAAGTGGAGTTTGGAAACATGACATGGAGCTAAAATTTGCACCGCATTATGTTAAATGTTTGCTGAATGTGTTAGTGTCTGTGCATGAGTCATAGGAAATCATAAATCATCTTTTAGAAGATGTAGTTGTTTACTGTTTACTTATATATAACATAGCAAGTCAAGTCCAGTTGCTTGGTTATAAAGGTAGCGTTAAACAGCCAGTGCTTTGAGATGGCTATCAGAGATTGCAGAGGTCTTGGAAAGAGGATTATCGTACCGTTAGCATACTGTTACGATTGGAAAGCACCAATTCCAGTTCAGCTCAGGAAGTCTCACCTATAATTCACACAAGGTTTCATGGGGGCTAGGAATATGGTGGATATCTCGAAGCGCTGCTAAGTGCAGATATATAGTGTTACCAGCATGGCTGTAGATGATTGGTCTTGTTATGATCCACTCATATTTAAACTTATTTTGCTGGCAAAAATGCAAAACCTTGACAGGATTAATTTTTCAGTTGTATTTATTTGCTACTTTCCTTAAGGGATGGATATATGCCACAGATGTGGACTCATACTGTAGTGTTTGCACACACATTTACAGTGCAAACAGCCATGCGGATGCAGGGATTATAAAATGGATCTAAGTCTTCTACAAAAGTAAATTGAATACCTTTGGAATTTGGATGACAGTATGTGAGCTGATCGGCATTTTTAACTATTTCCTGACTTTTTTTTAATAGACTAAACAATGAATACAATAATTGTCACATGAATCTGTAATGAAAATAATTGTTAGTTGCATAATATCAGCAGTGCAATAATACCATTTATATTCAATGAAAGACAACATAAACAGCAGAGGTAATAGACATATATTTGAGTGGTATTGACATTTGGTGGCGTAAGAGCGGATTTCTCTGTGTTTATTCTCGCATGTTCAGGATGTTCTGGCTTGCCCATACACATTTTAGGATCTTATGGCAGCTCTTGACATCATACATGTTAGGGACAAGAGCAACAGTAGCATAGCACAAAGCTTAGTTATGTACTGTAACGATGCAGTTCAAGGTTCAGCAGGTAACTTTTATAAAAGTAACTTTATGTCATATTTGCACATGCTGTGTGGCCCCGGCCCGTCCTGAAGCCGCAAGCTGAAGATAATGAGCTTTTCTGAGTGAGGGCATGTGCGGGGGAGGGGGCCAGCGCAGCGTGTGCATGAGCAGTGTTTAGCCCCATCCCCACTGCACAAAAAACCAACCAACACCCACTAACATCTGGCTTTTGTATGTAATGGGAAAGGTCACAATCAGCATTCACACCTGGGCCAAATGACGCTGCAGTAGTCACAGGTATTTATCGGCTCTGAAATACAACCTCCAGGTGAACACGCTTATTTTAGCCCCTTTAGTGGCAAGATGCAGTGATGGACCACAACAAAATATCATCTGTCTCCATTCAAGCCTGGCTCAAACATTGTTAGGGGCTGTGTTTTTTGCGCCCTCAGATTCATTGTTTTCAATGTAGACGCGCGGCAGACACTCAAACGCCAGAGCGACGCTGCTGCGGCACGCACTCATTCCCAAGTACCTGTTTTTCAGGGCTGGATGGCTGCACCCCGGAATAAACTGAGCTGGAAAGCAGCAGCATGCATCACATGTCATGTGATGGGGAACAACCAATCAAAACCGACAGATACCTTTACCTTCTTGCGCAAATATCAGTCTGTGGTAAATATAGGTTGGTTATTTATGTGCTGGGCTGCCAGAGCTTTTCATCTGACCCATGGACGATATGCCCACACATTAATAAACAGCACCTGGAAAAAGATCAGCTTTGCACTCAAGTTTTCAGGTATATATGTGCCTAGCAACCACAGACACAACTTGCGGCTGTGCTCTTGAAAGCTGGCTCAAAAAAGGCACAAAAGTAGCACCCAGCGCCTGATCTCAGTTAAAGATGCAGCATGTGTACGGCCCCTTAGTGTGACTGCACCGAGTTTGAAAGAGATGTAGAAAAGAAGTAACTACCATAACATTTTCACTGGCCTCCATGCTACTTTCTGCTGTTTACTAACCTGTTTCCCAGCTTTTCTGTGACGTTGAACGTGACACACCAGTTAAAAAAACAGAAAGGAATACTCATCTGCTGCAGAGTATTGTACCCAGCTCATATCTACGTCAGGGAATGGAGTTTATAACGTATTTCTAGGTTTTCCCGTGTTTACAGAATCTGTGTACGTAAGCTAATTTTGGTGGGAAAGGGGTTTTGGTACTGCGTTAGAAACTCCTCAGCTCTAAATAGCTCTAAGTGGATTTTTGCATATGCCATTAGGAGCACTGGGAGGAGCCAGAGGAACTATTATTTCACAGATTATCTTTATTCTGTACCTCTATTATTATTGTTAAAATTATTATTTTCTTTTAAATGAAAGTTACCTGATGGACTGATGTACTTGGTGTCTTTTTAGTTTTACCTTTTTTTTTGCAAAGGTTGGTGTTGTGCTTTGATATTTCCAGGTATCCGGTCTTCTAGTTCAAGACTACAGTCACGAGTACAGCCACTGGAACTCTGTCAAGTCTCTGGGACAATGGCTCCAAGAGGAGAAGGTTTGGATTCAAGTCACCAAGTATCTGGTGTAATCTCAAAGAGTAGGACTCCGCTGCTGGGAAATTGACAAAGTTTACTTTCCTCCTTTCAAAGGTTCCTGCACTGTTTGGAGTAGACACCAGAATGCTGACCAAGATAATCAGAGATAAGGTAATGTCAATACACAGATACTGAACTACTACATCTTTAACAAAAGGACTGATTGATTATCACAGTTGTGTTGCTTGTGATTGCTCCTCAGGGCACAGCTTTGGGGAAGATTGAATTTGATGGGCAGCCTGTTGAGATATCTGACCCTAATCAAAAAAACCTTGTAGCTGAGGTCTCAACCAAGGTAACGCCTGTTTACTTATATGCTTAGCATCCTAAACAGATATTCTTTTCATTACACCAGATAAACTGAGCAAAATAGACCATCTTAGATCATAGTTTTTTCTCTCTACAGATGGTGTTGATTAGTGCTAACCTCTCTTTTCTGTGTCTCTCTACCCATTAGGAAATCCAAGTTTTCGGAAAAGGAAACCCAGTAAAAGTGGTGGCTGTTGATTGTGGTATTAAACACAACATCATTCGCCTGCTGGTTAAGGTGAGGAAAAAAAAACATCCTTGTTGTTGGCTGTGCATCCTCATTAGTTCACACTCTGATGCTTTTACGATGGAGCCCCAAATGACCTCCTCTGCACAAATATAGAAAAGAGGTCAACGCATGTCACATGTTTTCTGCAACCTGACCTGGAAAATAAGAGATGCTAATGTAAGGTCTAACAAGCTGTAAGAGATAGTGGGCCTCACTCTCTTGTTTATGCTCCATTTAATAGTTTGTTGATATTTATAGTGTTGATATTAGCTTGTGTTTGGTCATGATAGTAAGTCGGGAAAAGGAGCCAGCAGATTTCTAATGCAGTAGTCTGCTTTGTTTGTTTATACATTTTCCCCTTTTCATTTTTCTGCCTTTCATTGGTCTGTTGATGAATGTCTGGCTCTGTGAACATTCTCATTTATCAAATAATTTGTAAAATTAATAATAGCTAATGACTGCAACGCTGCTCTTTTATGGCTGAAAATAGAGTTTGTAGGACAAAATAAGATTTGGTTTTTCTTATTTCTGAAATCGCATCATGAACAAAGACACCAATATTATCATTTAGGGCTGGGAATATCAGATTTTCACGACATGATTATCATGGCCAAAAGAGTTTAGGATAATGTTATAATAGAAAAAGTTATGTCCTTTTTTTGGGCAAATTATACTCAAAATACAAGTGAAGGGAGGTAAGGAGAGAATCTGTAACCATAACTGCACAAAGGTACAAAAAGAGAAATTGCCCTTAATGGATAGTGACAAGGCAACCTGATGGTGTTGGTGGAGGGAGAAAGCGAGAACAGAAAGGAACAGAAATTACGATATTATCACATGTGTATTATTAACATGATATCAGTATTATTTTTAAATGTCATGATTATTGTCAATATTGCTATATCACGACACCCCTATTATTATGGATGCATGATTTATATCAGGCTGGTACATTATCAATAAGACTTTTGCTTTGTATTATGTGTTATTCAAATAAACAGCTGAAATAGTGCCAGTAATACAAATCTAGACTGCTTTCATTGACTTAACAAGGACAACGTCTTCACACCCTGATACAGTAGCTGGCATTACACCCATAAAGTTTACCAACTGCCAATAAACAAAGAGAAGAAGAAGACCAGCGAGTCAAACATGTAGTCGTTGGTGTGAAAGTCTTTCACAGTCTCAGAGGAAGACAACACAGTTGCATTGAGGGTCTGATCTCTGACCGCCATACTCCCCACAAGATCAGCAAACTTCCTGCCGTGGTTGAGCAGGTTATACACAACGCTGAAGGACCATCGCAGAAGCGTTAGCATGAGCTAAAACAGCAGCAGCGGCTCATATTTTTGTTCATTTTGCACGGTTTTTTTTTTCATTTTACTGCTAGCTATGAATTTAAGACCCATTAAAGGTAATTTACTTTCACATCCTGTATGATACTCATCTGTAGTGTAGGGTTATATGGGCGCAGGGGCGCTGAGGGGAGGTCATTTGTCAATACCCCAGATAACTTCCCTCTTTTTCCCAGCTTAATATTGGCATGAACAGAAGAGTCAGAACTGTATTTTGTTTTTGTTGCGTGAACAGTAGTGATGTCAGTCAAATTTGGTCAGGTCAGGGCTATGGAATACTAAATCATTCATATTTTCTCACTACATTTTAGCCTTTCTTATCCTCAGATGTGCTTAAACCACAGGCTATTAGGTTCTTTATAAAAAACAAAAATGTGAAAATATCGGTTATCATATCTGTATCAGCCATGAGAAGCAGGTAATTATGGGTTATCAGTATTGGCTAAGGAAAAACATACTGTGCCTCCCTAACTATTATCATTGTTAGAGAAATTTAACATTTGTTTTATTCAGTGAATGTATGGAGATCTTGGTCACTCCTGGAACAATCAGAGTATTCATGAAGATGTGGGTAGAGATCGGCATACTGTGTGCGTGTGTGGGTGCATGCTGAATGAATGGCGTGATCCGACGGACAAGGTCGTCAAAACGACCAGCCGACATCCTGACATAAGAGAAGTGCCTCTCGTTGTCCATCTCCCACATCTGTTGAACCAACCAAGACACTGTACTCGCCCTGCTCAACTCTGGTCATATTGAGTGGTTTAACATGCCACCTACGTTCACTTCTTTTTTCCACCTCTTCGGCAATCGCCAGAAGTAACAAATCTTCCTCCTACTCCGCTTCAAACATGTTGTTTTCCTCCTCCTCCTCCTCTTCCATCAACTCAAAAACTGCCATCTCCGCCCTTGTTGTTCTTGTGGAGTATGTACAGGGCTTTAGGCAATACCCTAAGATTACAGAGTGTCTCTGTATGTTCTCTGTGTGCAGAGGGGTGCAGAGGTGCACCTTGTACCGTGGGATCAGGACTTGATGAGTCTAGACTACGACGGCCTCTTCATCTCCAATGGACCAGGAGATCCGTCTCTGGCTCAGACACTGATCCACAATGTCCGCAAGGTAGAACATGGTGTTATTTATATATTTTAATGTCTGTGGACCGTTTGAGAATTAACCACAAGGAGTCGTAGGTATTAACAGTGCTGCATGCTGTAGTTTTTTTTGCTAAAAAAAAAACAAGCCAGAATATTACAACCATAAGCAATGTTTTTACACTCAGGAGTAATCTAACCTATTCCTCTTATTATTATATTACTGTATTTATTATTTTCATTTACAGCAAGTAGAGTTTAGAGAGTCATATTATTTTAGGACCCTGTTTGTTGTTGAAGTTACAATATTGCGAAAGAAGATTTCACTTTTTCCACACCACAGATTATATTTATGTTGTTTGAAAGCCTATTTCTGCTCGTACGATGAAAAAAGAGATCATGTTGAGTCATTATAATGAAAAACTTCTTTAAAGTATCTTAAAATAATGAGAAACAATATGAAGCCAGTATTTCAAGAAAGTTTCTTATTAAAATGACTTAATAGGATCTTTTTTTTGTTACCACACTGGTGGAAATGGGCTTCTATAATATAATTATCTACAGTGTATCTTAAGTAAATGTTTTTTTTGTGTGTGTTTTGTCCTGTGAAGGTGCTGGAGAGTGATCGCCCCCAGCCAGTGTTTGGGATCTGTATGGGCAACCAGATCACTGCTCTGGCTGCAGGAGCTCAATCTTATAAGCTGCCTATGGGCAACAGGTGAACTTTTTGTTAGCTAGTAAGGCACCATATGCATGCTCTTTAAGAATACTCATAGAGATTTAAAGGTGCCCTGCTGACTTTTTTGTAAATGAACGAAAGGTATGTTTACATTTACTAGTCCATACCCATTGTGTGCACAGTTGCCCACATACTAGACTCACAAGTCAGTCTTTAGACGCTTTGCTTAACTAAAGACTGATGACTTTCTTCCTGATTTTGTGTTTAGATGGGCGGATACAATTTCAGAGTTTAAAAAACTCCCTACGTTGCAGAACCAATAGTAAATCTGCAGGGCGGTCCTTCGGTGGCTCATAGTTAGTGGGTGTTTGTCGCGTTTGCGGTGACACATTCTCGCCAATTTAAAGAAACAAACATAATCTTTTACAAGGCCATGACTCATCCGTCTGGCCGGACTATAGAGGGAATCGCCTTGTTGTTTACAAATACTTCTGGGTAGAAAACCAGCAGAGCTTTTAGCTATATATATAGCTTATATATCACATTTTTCACATCACTGTATCACCGTTTGGACTAATCCGATTTTTGTAAAGTCTATAAACACAACGATTGAACAAACATTATTTCTTAGCCGTTAGCAGTGTCTGTAATAGGTAATAACTCATTAAACGGTCCGTGAAAAAAATATCTTTTCCAGCGGATATCTTAGTTACAACATGATTGAGCTAGCAAAGCAGTTTTGTGTTGCTACGTGTGGTATTTATTCAGTTTTGGGAAATCACGATGTCTAGAAAGCATCAGTGGCTGCAGCTGACAGGGACAGCTAACACTTGCAGCAAAGCTAACATCTGGACGTCATCTGTTAAAAGCCTCCCGTTGTCGGATACGACATGAAACTACTCCAGTTAGCTCAATCATGTTGTAACTAAGACATCCGCTGGAGAAAATATTTTCTTCACAGATGAGCACAAGTTTGATAAAATGGAGTTTAATCTCTTGGCATCCATTTTCAAGCTCTCTGTGTGTTTGTTTCCTTGCGGACGAGAAAAGGGGGAGCGCACATTTCCGAGAAGGCGTGTCCTTTTCAAAAATGCAAGAGGCGTTGCTTTGTTGCCGGTCGTTTTCGCTGGTGTGTTAAACACACTTTAGAAAGGAGTGTACCCAGACTATCAGAAGGTGGAGATCTCTGATTGTCATTAGTAGTTGAAGTAGCATGTTGAAAGGCAGATAGTTAAAGTGTTTTTATGTTGTATTGACTTAAAAGTGGGGCGCACTGGTAGTTCACATGGGAAAGGTGCGGTTTGCCCTTGTTTCAGCAGCATACCATACCATGACTTAGTCATAAATTTGAAAAAACCAACAACATTGGTCCACAGGGGGAGCAACAGCGTTAAATCGCATTTTAGCCATATTTAAGCATTTTTCTGTTGTTATAGCGCCACCCAGTTGCCAATTAGAGTTATATTTCTCCAGTCACCTTGAGGCGTCCTGTTCTACATATCTACCAAGTTTAGTAAAAATCGATATGGCAGTTAGGCCTAGATAAGAAATTAGCTCTCTAGCGCCCCCATTTTGTTTGATGGGGTCCATAATGGAGGGGTCCCCCTCAGATTATGTGTGGTCATATGCCTACAAAGTTGCGTGGTGATCGGTGAAACCCTTGAGATGTTATACACCTTTATGTGATGAGCCACGCCCTCCGCAATATTCATTGCCTTATAGAAGCTCAGTTTTAGTAAGTTTTCCAACTTTTGCCAAGAGGGAACTTTAGATATTGGTCCCTAGATTATGTTCACTGAGTTTCATGCAGATCGCTCAAACTTCCTAGGAAGAGATCGATTTGAAGTGTTTTTCAAAAAATTCGAAATGGTGGAAAATCTATATCACCGGAAGTTATGGGTTCTTGAGGCAAATTTGTTCCTCATGAGGAGAGGCATCTCTGTGCAAAGTTTCATGTCTCTAGACATACGGGGCATGAGATATGCCCATTCAAAGTTTGCTATAGCGCCCCCCTTTGGCCAATTGATGTAATATTGCTTCATTCACATCCTCCCATGACCCTCTACCACTGTGCCAAATTTCACATGGATTGACCAAGTCAGTGAGGAGAAAAAACGTGTAACAGACACACCCACAGAGTTTTCGTCATTATATAGTAAGATTGTTATTCACCAGAACGCATGGTGTGTCCTGAAGTGTCACGAATGTCTCAAGTGCATTTCCTTCCTTATAAAACATTTGCAAAGTCAACATATTTTAAATCCAGCATTGTTTACAGCCATGTTTACTAGCGTGCATTCTTCTTCTCTGCTTTTGTTGGCACATTGCAGCATATCTTGGTTCAGTGGAATAGGACTGTGTAACCTGTCAACTGCATGCATCCACATGCATGTGCAGGGGATAAATAAGCATAAATTACTGTGTTTTCTGCATATCTGTGACTCCCCAGGGGCCAGAACCAGCCAGTGCTGAATGTGATGACGGGTCAGGCCTTCATTACAGCGCAGAACCACGGCTACGGTATCGACAGCCAGTCCCTGCCCCCAGGGTGGAGCCCGCTTTTCATCAACGCCAACGATGGCACCAATGAGGTTGATTTCACTCAAAGACAACAGGGCGTTTTGATATTTTTGTGGATAAAAAGCACCAGTTTCTGCTGTCCACAGACCTTGGCCTCTAGAATAACACCTTACAAAAACAGACTCACCTGTTTCTGAAATGTGAACAAATGAAATGCAAAATACTGTTGGCTGGATTTCAGGTTTCTTGTATCAACTCTGCATATTTTTCAGGGCATCATGCACAACACTAAGCCTGTTTTCACGGCCCAGTTCCACCCGGAGGCTAAAGGCGGTCCCACTGACACAGAGGTAATTAAAGACTTTGACAGTGCTGCATACCTGAATGCTATACTAAAGTTAAGAAGTAAAGATATCTTCACAGGATGCTCCTCTACCATTAAAACAGGATTTGTCTAACTGAAGTGGTCATTCATTTCTATGTATATTGTATGTTTTCCAGACATAGTGGTAAAAAGTAAAGGAATATATACGCAGTGATCACTGACAATGAGAGATGTGATCATATGTGGTGCATCAGGGCCACAGCTGCCTGTCCCCTTCCCTACAATAAAGCGCTGATGACTCTGTGCTGCAGCTCTTGTCTCCCACGTGACAGGTGAGGGCTGCGGTTCAAGTCCTGGTCAAAATATGTTGTAACCGCTGTCGTATTAAGGCAGAATAATAAGACCTGTCCTCTCTACCAAAACATGTAGTTGACAGCTCTGCTGGAGAATTCTTGCCTCCCCCTGTGTTTGACATTTGGAGGCATCGCATAAATTTTGCACTGTGCACATGACAAGCATGTTATGTGTTTAGAGTGTCATGCAAGTGTAATATGTTTTAATGCATTTCTTTAAAAATCTGATGACTCTTTAACCTTCTATTTAAAACAAAAAAGGTGACAGTATGCGTGTGTGCAAACAAACAGGCAACTGCAATTACCAAAATTACCACTAGAGGCACATTTTAACTTGTGACTGTTGTAACTGATGCTAGTGATTATTTATATACTGAAATACTAGATCATTTAACTACTTTACAGTATACATACAGCTCCGGTTACATTGGCAGTTTCAGGAACTTGGTGTTGTCGCATTCGTAATCTCAAACACAGCGTTTACGTTTTATCATTGGTTGGCTCTTTTTTGAAATAAGGAGTATTTTTCCACTCTACTTTTCTAAAATTTAAACCAAGTTGGATCTCAAAAAAAGCTGTTTTATGCAGCCTGTGGCCGTCCCAGTGTATTTGAGTATGAAAAATCAGGCAGGACGAAAACGTTTTAAATCCTAACTATTAACCCTTTGAAACCTGAGCAAATTGGCTTGATTTCTTTTAGAAACATCGCAAGAAGGCAACGAAAGAAGAATGATGAAAATTTGCAAGAAATTAGTAAAAAGAGAAGGAAAGACAGGAAGAAAGTTGACAACAAACAAACAAGGACATGACCTGAGAAGAGTGCTTCAGAATGATCAGAATTATGTAACATAATTTTAAAATGAAATAATGATAATAATAATAATAATAGTAATAATAATAGTAATGATAATAATAATATTAATAATAATTTTAAATATTGTTCTCTCCTAGCTTTTTCTTTTTTATCCTATTTTTTTAATAACTTTCTAAATCAATTTAATTTTGATTTTCAATTTACTGTATTTAAATCTCTTTTCTTGCATTTGTGGGACATTTCTTACCAAGTTGCTCATTTTTATAAAGCCATCACACCAGTTTGCTGTCAAGGTTCAGGGGTTTAAGTACTTGCAAAATGGGTCTGAAAGCAGCACAGGAAAAGTAATGTCACACCAGGTTTCAAAGGATAAAGCAATGTACAAGTAACACAAATGTTTTTATGCCTTTGTGCCGGTGACAGGTTGTGGCCAGCAGCATTATGTTTAGTTAGGGTGTCTACAGGTCATTAAAAAGTTTTAAAATGTCTTAAATTCAGTGTTACAATAAGGCTTTAAAAGGCATTAAATAGTCTTGAATTTGAGTTTGTGAGGTCTAATTTCATATTTTCACAAAAAGAAATTAAAAAATGGATATGAGTGAAGCCTTTCTATGTAATAGTCCACATTTCTAATGTTACAATCTTACAAAAAACCCATAATACTGTCATTTTACTTCATACTTGGACTTACCTGTTGGCAAAATGTAGATTGACTCACCATTTTCCTACGTAACACTGAAATCTGCACAATACCACATACAGTGGTGGAAAAAAGTTTTCGGACACATCGGTATTTCGGTGAAATATTGCATTAAGAATCACTTTTAGGTCTTCAAGTGCAATTTCTTTTCATACAGTCACAGCCAAAATACTAAATAAATCCTGAAAAAGCCATTAAAAACTTAAAATTGATTGGTTCCATAAAAATACATAAGAAATTTTGAGTATTGGGTCATTTTGGTACCAGTGATGAAGGTCGTTCTTTTTATTAAAAGACACAATTTTTGTTGCCAAGCTTCGTGTCTACATAAAGCCAGCACATTTCAAAGTTCTTCAGACACAAAAATGGCTAAAACAAGGAACCTAACGCAGGAAACACGTCTGAAGATAAAGATTCTCAGCCAGGAAGGGTACAGCTGCCGCCAGATAGCCAGGAAGTGCAGATGCAGTCCTTCAGCAGTTGGATACACTCTGCAGAAATACAGGCGAACCAACAGCTTGGAAGACAAACCAAGATCTGGGCGTCCAAGGGTTTCTTCAGCAAGAAATGACCGCATCCTGATCCGCATGTGCAGGCAAAACCGCCGAATGACATCACAGGAGCTTCAGCAGCAGTGGTCAAACCAAACTGGTGTCCAGTGTTCCACCCGCACTTTACGTGGCCGACTTTTAGATCATGGCTTAAGGTCCTACAAGGCTATCAAGAAGCCCCTGATCAATGAGAGACAGAGGTTAGCCCGGCGTCGTTGGGCCCAGGCTCAAGAACTGGACAGCCAGGAACTGGAAGAAGATTTTGTGGTCAGATGAGTCCAGTTTCCAGCTTTATCTTCCTCCTACTAATGTGAGGGTACGCAGAAGGCCAGGCGAAGCATTATCTCCAGCATGTACAGTACCTACTGTCAAGCATGGTGGGGGCAGTATCATGGTTTGGGGATGCATGAGTGCTGCTGGTGTTGGTCATCTCACTGTCTGTGATGGCACATTGAACTCTACCAAGTATTGTACGATTGTCGAAACCCACATGCTCCCTTCTGCGCGTGCACTGTTTCAACAAGATAATGCCCCTTGTCACACATCCAAGGCCAGTAGAACTTGGCTGCAGGAGCACAGTATCCAGGTCTTAGAGTGGCCAGCTCAATCCCCGGACATGAGCCCCATTGAAAATCTGTGGTGGATTATCAAAAGGTCTGTTTCAAAGCATAAACCAAAGAATTTAGAAGAATTAAAAGCAGTAATTCAAGAAGAATGGGACAAGATTACCCCTCAACAGTGTGAAAGGCTCGTGGGGAACATGCCAGCCAGGATTAGAGCTCTACTACGTGCCAATGGCAGAACTACTAAATATTAATTTGATGATGGTTTATTTATTTTTTTGTTCAGTTTTGAACACATTCTCTGTTATTTGTTGACTTTGATACCGACAATGTTGAGAACTGACATATTGAAACTATCAAGAATTTAGTTTTGTTAGTTTTTCTTGTAAACAATAAACAAAAAAATATAATTTGTATTTGTTTGTATCTGTCTAATGCAGCCACACCTTTTGAAACACAAAAAAGATTTTTCCACAAATATTTCATGATAATATTTGAGATTGTGTAAAATTTTAAGGGTGTCCGAAAACTTTTTTCCACCACTGTATATATACTACTTACCCTTAATGCTTACCTGGGATGCTTTAATAAGTAAAAAATGATCGGTCCAAAAATCTGTCCTAAAGTTGGTTAAATGTGTCTTGAATGGGTCTTAAAAGCATTCATTTGGACTGTCTGACACCTGTAGACAGCCTGTTAGTTGTCCGTCCATCGCATTTTTCCCAAGAGCCCCTTGAGGCAATTTCTGTGGCACCACGTCCAGTTGGACTCAACAATGAACTGATTAGATTTTGATGCTCAGAGGTTACTGTGACCTCACAAAACACTTTTTCATTTCTCAATTCATACACTAATTATGACAAAATTTAGCACAGATGTCTTTATATCCACAAGGTCAAAGGTCAGCTTCACTGTGACATCATGATGTTCTGCAAAAACTATTTTCTAACCATTACTCAGGACGATAACTCAGGACCAGAAGGGGAGGCAGTAATTCTAGTTTAGTTTGTTTATTTAAACTAATTTGATTGATAAAATTAATGTCGTTATTTTCCTCTGTACTTTCTCTGTACATTTTAATGCAGACATACTCTTTTTAGGAAAGAACAGTCTGATCTGAAAGTTTCCTCATGGTTTTTGCTCGTCCACGTACAAGTAAACGAAAGTAACCTCAGGAAACAGTCAGCTTAGGGAAATCTGTTCCATCCCAAACCTTGTAACCTCAGGCAAAGCTTGGTCTTTCTAAAACACCACCGTGTTTTCACTGCATAAAGTAGTGGAAAATGTTAGTTCAATATTTGCAGGAGGGTAACAAACACTTAAACTTAGGTTCCTCCTAATAAATGTACTATTCAAACTGTCTTTATGTTGGTATTTTTCTTTGTGTCCACAGTACCTCTTTGATGCCTTCATGTCCCTGATCAAGAAAGGAAAAGATGCCAATATATTTTCAGTAATGCCGAAGAAGCCAGACATTCCGCCCAGAGCCCAGGTACGCACAGGTTCTGCAGGTTTAGGTTTTATAAACAACATGTGATTTTTAGGTGTGTTCAGGATTAACTGTCTCAGGGTGTGAAGGTTATATAAATAGGTAACTGTACAAGGAAATGCCAGGATGTAGTATTTCACAGGTTAGTAACTAAACTGTTTAACATCATTATAATGATGCGCTTCATGTCAACCAGCCAGAGCTAAAAGGAGGGAGTGATTAATTTACTTATTTTATGTTTGATTAGTTTCATTTTCTGCTTTTTGTTTTATTATCTCAACACTTCGTCTGTGTGTGTGTGTGTGTGTGTGTGTGTGTGGTTCTGACGTTTTCTTTTAACAATATGTATGTTGACATAAAGTAAAGATTTAAATAATTTTTTGAAATTAAAAAATGATTATAAAAAAAGGAAGGGGGGAGAAACCAAAGTGATGAAGCAGCATAAGAAGCATTCAAGAAAAGTAACTGGAGTGGATGCTCTAGATGAACAAGAACCTTGGCTTTCAAGGAGGGGATTAAAATAAAAAAAACTAAAAACTTAAAGAGAGCACTCCTGGGGGCGGGGTAGATGCAGTGAGCTCACCTAAGTATGCATCGACAGTCTTTGTGTAATTACTCTCAGTGCCATAGGGGGGAGACAAAAGCTTCACACTCCAGCTTTTAATATATTTATGTTTCCTTGCAAATAGAGTTTCATGCTGCCCATATTGCATGGTGTTAAATACTGTGTGTATTGTGTGTGTATTTGTGTAAACGCAGGTGTCAAAGGTGCTTGTACTGGGTTCTGGTGGTCTGTCTATTGGGCAGGCTGGAGAGTTTGACTACTCTGGATCTCAGGCCGTCAAGGCCATGAAGGTAAGAGGAAACAAGTTAGATGTTAATGTCTGGCCGAAAAGTTCCCAAAAAATATATTATACAATTTACTGCTTTCAGTGCCAGCTGTTTCAGAAAATAACTGGTTTTAAAAATCAAATAGTTTATGTTTGACCCTTTTTAAAAAGATGTATGTGTGTGAAAATGAACGGCTTTGGTGTTACGTGAGTCTGACGGCTGAGTTTGTTTTAATGGTCTTTTCAAAGTATTTGTCGGAAATTACAAAAATAAATTCTTTAACATTTAAAATAGAGGGTTTGAAAACCTTCAGATGACATTTTATACATAAAAAAACTTGAATAATTTGGTGTACAAACTGTATGGTACCCATTTTAGTTCCCGTGGAATTAATAAGCCATTTTCACAGAGGACATTTTCACACGTTGCAGTAGGGAAAACACACAGGTGTGAATAATGAAATTAAGGAGATTGAATCCCATTTAGCTAACTGGGACACTTGAATAGAACGTAGCCATAGTGAAAAGAATATTTCACCCTCCAAATGATCAGTTGTGTGTCAATTACTCACCCCATGTAATATTGAATTATTGAAGAAAACTTTTTCCCACATGTCTAAACAGTGAACGAAGAATCTAAAAACGGTGATTATTCAGGAGAAATTGAGGAGTAAAAGGGGGGCCATATTTAACAACAGCAAAATTCTATCAAAGCATCTGTTAAGAAACTCTCACACAACTCGTGCTGTATAATCTAAGCCTCATTTATCCAGTCATATGCTCAGTTCTTCCCAAACACATGCGTTTTTGCCAAAACCTTACAATTTTAAACACTGGGAGTACAAGAAGTGTGCCTGGGGAAGCCCGCCCCTTTGAACTCTGCTCATGCAATCCATTGAATAGAGTTCATACACACACTTTTACTCCTTTTTCACAGATGTCTACTGTGAAAAAGGTCTGTTGTCAAAGGTTACATTTTAACCTACAGAAATAAATGGCATGCTGAAAAACCACAGTAGCACATTTACATTGAAAGACACAGCTGTTGTAAATGTGAGAATGAAGACTGATCATCATGCCGTGGGTTACTTTTAAATAAACAATAATTAACCTTGTGGACGTGTTGCTGTAGGAGGAGAACCTGAAGACCGTGCTCATGAACCCAAACATCGCCTCGGTCCAGACCAATGAAGTGGGCACCAAGCAGGCCGACTCAGTCTACTTCCTGCCCGTCACGCCAGAGTTTGTAACTGAAGTCATCAAGACCGAGCGTCCAGATGGCATCCTGCTCTCCATGGGTGGACAGACTGCACTCAACTGCGGTGAGATGTGTGCACCTGTTTGCGTCAGTGTGTGGGACTGCTAATTTTGTGGAGATCAGGTAGGCGAACACACTGACTGTGTGTCAGGAAGGTTAAGAGGTTAAATGTATTGTGGAGTTCTCTGCAAGACACGCACACTGACAGGGTTGGACATGACTCACTAACTTTATGGATGCATTTATATATTTTTTAGATTGCTTAACCATGCATCTGTGTGGATTGGTGCTGTGTTCAGGAGTTGAATTATTCCAGCGTGGTGTCCTGGAGCAGTATGGTGTGAAGGTCCTGGGAACCCCGGTGGAGTCGATCATGGCCACAGAGGACCGACAGCTTTTTGCTGACAAACTGATGGAGATCAATGAGAAGATTGCACCTAGTTTTGCTGTGGCATCTGTAAGGATCCAATAACAAGAAATAAATCTCCCTCTGAGACAAATTATATATCCATATTGCATGATACAGTGTTGATTTATTCTGTATTTTTAGTAAATGGTCAAGCAGGGGGGATTACAGTGTAATATCTGTGTGCATCTCTCAGGTATCTGATGCCTTGAATGCGGCAGAGCAGATCGGCTACCCAGTGATGCTACGGTCGGCCTATGCTCTTGGAGGTCTGGGATCCGGTCTGTGTGCCAATAAAGAAAGGCTGGAGGAAACTGCCCACAAGGTCAGCATAAATGGTGTAGGGATGGTGGAGGCATCTGGGCACAATTATAACTGTTATTCTGTGTAATCTCTGTTCTTTGCATGTGATTGATGATGCAGATCAAATCAGAAATTAAAGCATTTTTACCCAGACGTCTACTGACAAACTTTTTTTAGTTCCATCCCATGTTTACAGCATTAACCTGCACAAAGATAAAAGCTTTGAAATTGTTTAGATATGTTTCTTTGGTGCTCTGCCAAGAAGGGAATAGTTTGCTGTTGCTTAGCAACATTCTTTTGTGCTCGTCCGGTATCCAGCACTATGTCTGACAGCCGAATTGGTTATAATCTGTGATCACAGGCTGCAAAATGAACGGTCTGTGCCAGACTGTTTTAGATCAGTGCATACTTTTTATTTTATGCTTTAGGTTCTGCTGCTCTCCTCGTTTTGTATTTAAAAGTATTTTTTTTGTTTCATTTGGAAATTTCAATGGCAAATGTTCTTTTTTTTTCCCAGTTATGCTCAGTGGCTGTTTACAGCTTTGTATCAAGTGTAGAGCAGAGATATAGTTCACAAGGTCTTTGTCTAATCAAATACATACAATACAATACAATACAGATGAAATGAAAAATGATTCACCTTAACCTTGTGTCTGCAGCAGCAACTCAAAAGAGCATGTTTATTTCTATCTCTCGCATATGCACCAGTGCAAAATGTGGCAACCACATTTTGTTCCAGGCAGTCCACGTCTCAACAAATGAAAAAGATTTGCATATGTTCTCTTGTGTTGTAGGTAAAAAGACATTCAGGGAAGCTGCAACCTTTTTGTTTCTTTAGTTAAAGTGTAAACAGACAACTTTCCTCCCCCTAGCATTTCCAAGTGCTATAATTATTGGTGCTGCTGTTTCAAAGACAACCGGAGCGCTTTGCAACACAGGACAAAACATAGGTTTATTCATTCACTGACTCTCTAATGGAGGCATGAGAGCAGACAGAAATGGTGCCAGGATGCCAGCCTGACTGGATCGCCGGTCAGCCTTCATTTTCCCAGGAGATTTCATACCCGGTGGCACACAGAATTCGCAAAGTGAAAGTGAGGCTTATAGGGAACCACTCTAAACGCAGATGGTGTCATTCTATAGCCATTACACTGTGCAATCAACATTTACTTCATAATGGTACGTTAAAGGGAAAAACGTGTCTATTGGCAGATAAAGTATACTTAAAACAATAAAACAAACAAACACAAAGCACATTTATTGTTTATCTGAAAAAGTAGCTTTTCTGTTGAGACTGTGGTTTGGAAGTTCTTGGGAAAAAAGCTTGTATCGGCACATTAATGTAATCTGATGCAATCCATTACAGTGATAACAAGACACCACAGTATACATGTGGCTGTGAGGTTGAGAGTTTCAGTTTTCGGTGGGACTGTGAGAGGCGTTTGTTCAACTTTATGGTAATTATTTAGAGTGTAATTCACGGTGTGGGTGTGCTTAGTCGCATTATATAGTTCAGTATGATAAAGTTATCCGTCTCTGTGTGCACAGCCATCTGTTTGACTCTGCTCATATGCAAAAATGTTTCCTTCCTTTGATGACCACTGGGTTTACATTAAGATTCATGGGGGTGTTATGCCACATGCAGTATCTCCCACTGGAAAGGAAATTAGGCACAAAAAATGCCTGTGTGACAATTTATGGTGTTAAAACATTGGAGGAAATAGTTAATTAGTGCACATTAACTTACATTTGATTCTTAGTTTTGAGTAATGAGTTGTAATTGCTAAAATATATCACCCAATCTGTTTTTAATTTCATTGTATGTGTGTTAGTCGCATTGTTGGCATTCAGAAAGATCAGTCAGTGTGTGAGCTGCAAGTGTTAACATGCAGTGCTCACATTACATCCCATATACATTGCAGTTTTATAATGATGAAGCATTATTAGATGGTAAGCACATGCGTAAAATCACCACCACTAGATATTGTTTTAAATTATGTTTTTCCCCTTTTCATATTAGTATGTCAACCAGCTGTGTAAAGGCTAATACAGACACGCTGCATCTAACCTGATGATATCCTGTGCATACTGTGCTGCAGGCTCTGGCTATGAGCAGTCAGATCCTGGTGGAGAAGTCTTTGCTGGGCTGGAAGGAGGTGGAATATGAGGTGGTGAGAGACGTGGCTGATAACTGCGTCACCGTCTGCAACATGGAGAACTTTGACCCATTGGGCATTCACACAGGTACTAAAGCATACATTACATACTGATGTGTTCACCTTCAGACTGTTGTGCGCTGTTGTGGGATACTAGGTTCAGTATCATGTTCTTACTTTTGTTTTAGTGTGATTGAGTCAGTTGTATTGCTGTTGTTTATGTTGACCGAATTTATTGTGAACCTGGCAAGATGGTATCGATGTTTGTGACAGCTGTTGTCCTTGTGCCATTTCTTCGTCTTGTTTCTGTAGAAACAAAGGCATCAAGAGTTCATACTTGAGTTTCCACTCAAGCCTGTGGCTTTAATTTAGTTCTCAAAGCCAACATCCACAACTTGTACAGACTGGGGCCAGCTTGATATCTAGTGGTGTAAAAAAATATCGATAGGTTGAAATATCGCGATATTTCGTTTTGCAATACTGTATTGATTCTCAAAAGTATAAACTGTTTACACAGATTATATGCATAATAGCAACATGGTGTGTTCTTTATACCATGAGTTTTCCATAAATTAGATTCTTTTGAAAAAAAAAAATCATTTATCGCTTTGCTTAAAGTATTGCAATATATTGAATCGTCGCCTCTGTATCGCGATATGTATCGTATCCCTAGATTCTTGCCAATACACACCCTTAATGATATCAGATTTTCACTATACAGTTATCGTGGTCAAAAGAGTTTATCATAACGATAATATCGCGATATCTGTAAAAAAATAAATAAAAAAATGGAGAAAACAAAACAAAATGCTATCAGTCACACTTACCTTTAACGTTGTTTATTGTGCATTTTGTCCCTTTTTTGGCAAATTAGTGACGCTCAAACTGTAGAGGGTTTAGAGAGAATCTGTAACTAACTGTATAAAGGTGTACAAAAAGAGCAGTTACACTTAATTGATAATGACAAGGCAACCAGATTGGGAGGAAGTCAAAGCAAGAATGGAAAGAAATGGAAATGGTTCAAAAGGTGCTGGACTATTTACACAGTATTGTCATATGTACATTATTAACATGATACCAGTATTGAATTTTCAAATATCTAGGTTAACTACTGGTATATCGCAACACCTCTGGTACAGATTTGTTTGGTGTGAGTGGTCTTAAATTCCGAAGGAAAAACAGAAAAGTGTGTTTTCTTTTGTTTTAACTAAAATGTGATAATCTTTGACCCCTGAGCTTTTCCTGTATAACAGTAGATAAAAACTTTGCAAACCAAATTTTACAGGTTGCAATGCCAGTTGTAATTTTTTTTTATGCAGATTTTTTTTTGTTTGATTTTTAATGATTTCAGGCACTGTACAGCGACTATACATGTACAGAATTCTAATTCAGATGACTCAAGCTTTGATGTTTCAGTAAATAAAGTCATACACAGTGTATTCTTTCAGGTTAAGCACACAGCATTCAGAGCATTAATATAGCAGCAAACCTCTATTTAGTATGTTAAGATATAGTGTAATATTGACATCTCAAGCAGATAATGAAGTCAGGCTACCCTCTGTTTGTGTTGTAATACGAGCTTCTCTGTGTATTGTGGTAGACAGTCTGGCCGCACGTACATGTGAGTCCCTGTGTGTGTATCCCCCTGGCTAGTTAATGACCACTGCTCTGCGCTGGGCTCATATGGCGATCACTGCTGATAACAGTGTTGTTGTGAAAACATAACGGCCACACACCAGTTCCCCCCCATGTTAACATTGTTAGTTTTGTCAGCACTGTTGATGTTGTTTGTGCTGTGAGCACCATGAGCTGCTAGCTGCTGGCTCAACCGCTCTCATGTTGAGAACCGTGTGCAGACATCCCACCTCAGACTCTGAAACATGCTCTGAATGTGCTATACAGCTCCTTTCAAATCTCAGAAGAAAAGGAAACTGCTCAGACAAGCATTTACAACAAACAGGTGAAGATGCTTTACTTGGGATATGTGCTGATCCTTGTTTTTAAATCCAAATCCATGTGAGAAACAGGCTTTTGTTGCTTTATATGAAGCTCAGTAACCAAAACAACAAGGTCAGAGTCTGTTAATGCTGCCTTAAACCTTTAAATCCTTCCTCTTTCTCTTCCTTTTCTCCTTCTTCTTCAGGTGACTCCATAGTGGTGGCACCGAGTCAGACCTTGTCCAACGAGGAGTACCACATGCTCCGTGAGACGGCCATCAAAGTGGTTCGTCACCTTGGCATCATAGGCGAATGCAACATCCAGTATGCCCTACACCCGTCATCCCTGGAGTACTGCATCATTGAGGTTAACGCCAGGCTCTCCAGAAGCTCCGCTCTGGCATCCAAAGCCACTGGGTGAGAGAATACATGTATACAAACAAGAATGCGCTGCTAGTAGGCTGGTGATGCAACATGTATGTATGTATGTATAGCAGACAATAAGCAATATATAGCATCATGGGTCTTCAAGGACTTTCCCATGGAGAGTAATTATTAGATCAGTTGAGCTCAGGGATGAGGGATTCTGGGCTTCAAAAATGCCCCCAAATTGAATCAGTTTGGCTGTTTGACTCTCACAAACTAACTGTGGTTGTACTGCAGTGGTGCTAAAATGGAAGCAAATCTTGTGCTGTGGACGGGGAATTCTTTAGCTAGTATTTTAAATGAATATCTACCAATGCTCTATCATTTGACTATCAAACAGTCTCCCACTGCAGATTTGAAATTGTAAAAAGGTTTGTAGTTCTTCATGGAGAAAGTGATTTACGTGATCTTAAATTAATGTGTTTCACAATGGAATTCAATAGCATCAAGTTTCTGTGGGTAAACAAAATCAAAATGCTCAAAGACACCTCTTAAAACACTCCTGCAGCGTTATTCACTGATCCATCTTGTAGACACTCTAACTGTGTCTCCCTCACAGCTGTTTCCTGAGGAGGTTTATGTTTTGTATCTCATCAGTGGGACTCGTATCCTCAGTGGCATCAATTTTCTACACAACATAATTTCACAAGATATAAATAGGTTGGATTTTACTTTCGAGGATGGATTTCTACAATTGTTTAGCTGGGGTAGGCAGTTTTATTTTGTGGTATTGTGCAAAAATCCTGTGGAAAATTTATACTCAAGCACTGGTAACAACTGCCTACACTGCAAAGCAACCCTAAAGAGGATGATGGACTTATCAGAGAGAGAGTCTTAAAGATAGTCTGACAGTAAATGCAATAAAACACAATATTGGTGAAGCATTTCAGAGATGGAGAAAAATGTTGCTAATAGTTTAGCCTTCTGCCAACTAAAACTAAAGGCTTATGGTTGTGACTTCATGTTCATGTTTGTGTAGCTGACGTTAACTAGGGCCTTGAATCCACCTCACTCCCCACCACTACACACCACCTCGCAGGGAGGAAAGCGGGCAGCAATGACAAAGATGGACCTGCAGTAAGCAGTTGTAGCAACCTGAATCCAGCCAGCACAGCCCAGACTTTCAGCGGGATCGGCAAACTTTCTGTTGCTGCCGTTACACAGGCTGCGGCTTCATGTTCATATTTAGGTAGCTAACGTCAACTAGGACCTCGATTCACAGTGTACTCTCGTGCTTCACTCCCCACCGCTACACACCACCTCACAGGGAGGTGAATGGGTAGCAGTGACAAAGACGGACCTGCAGTAAGCAGCTGTAGCAACCTGAATCCAGCCAGCACAGCCCCAACTTACCGCGGGATCAGCAGACTTTCTGTTGCTGCCATTACGCAGCAACCTATAGCTGCTGCTTGCCACCAGCCTGCTGTGATACTCGGGACTGGGAGGTGTGAGCCAGCCAAATTCAAGCAGCTACAGCTGCCAACTGAAGATCTGTCTCCCTAGCTGCTGCCTGTTCTCTTCTCGGGGGTGCAGTACACAGCGGTGGGGAGTGAGGCGGGGACGTACAATACTGTACAGCTTTACAGTAGGACAAAGTATAGAGTTAATACAACATCACAGATTTGATGTGATTGTGCTAGTAATGCGTATTTGGTGCAGAAACTTCAACCACTAGTTCATTTTGGTCTCCCTGCCCTTGGTCTGTGTTTCACAGGTATCCCTTAGCTTTTGTTGCTGCTAAGCTGGCTTTGGGTATTCCCCTACCGGAGATTAAGAACGCTGTATCGGAAAAGACCACCGCCTGCTTTGAGCCCAGTCTGGACTACATCGTCACCAAGATTCCCCGCTGGGACCTGGACCGCTTTCAGGGCATGTCTCATGAGATAGGCAGCGCCATGAAGAGTGTGGGAGAGGTGGGGGGGGGGCTCCATTCACTCATCCACTTGCTTGTTCTCTTCACTCACACATCCATATTATACTGTCATATATCTCCCTCTTCTGGATTCAGGTTATGGCAGTTGGCCGGACCTTTGAGGAGAGTGTGCAGAAGGCCCTGAGGATGTGTCATCCATCAGTGGATGGCTTTGTGCCCCGGCTGCCACTCAAGAAAGCCTGGGATGACACCCAGGACCTGCAGCAGGAGTTGGCTGTGCCCTCCATCACCCGCATCTTCTCCCTCGCCAAGGTACACTCATCTTTCCTGACGTTAATAATGAATGACACCGACTACAGTTTTCTCATTAAAATCACATTTTGAAGTGTTACAGCTAAATTATCATGAAAAAAACATGACACGCAGAGCGAAATGTGAATTTTTTATAAGTTAAATAGTTGCACAGGAGCCTAATACTTGGAAAGCACATACAGTCTGAACTGTAACTGAATGGGCCTTTCAAACATGTGGGGAAGGATGAATCCAAATCACATAATATGAAGATACATTTGCTGTGTCTGCTTTTGTGCTTGCCCAATACAGCACTGTGAGCCTTTCTTTTTCCTCTTAGAATCAGTTGAAGGTGAAACGGCACTTTCATAAGTACATCTAGACACAGGGTCAGGCTCCGTCATTCAAACACAGAGACGCTGCACGAACTATTGCAAGGTCAAAAACATGTACAGCTTCAGCACTTCAACAAGCTTTTATCACCAGCTGAAAGAAGAGCAGAACGAGGTCCAATCAGTGTCAAAACCTCCAACTGTGCGAGCTTGCTGTCCAGACAGTAGATATATTTGCCCTCTTCAGTACAGAGTGAAATCATTGAAAATGGCGACAGCATTATAGATTGACGATCCACATCTTATCCTCAAGCAATCAAACACCAGCTATAATGCCTTAAAGTGGTCAACACAGTCATATTTGCTCTCATCCAACCTCCCACTAGTTTGATTTTGAAACCTGCACGTGTTAGGTCCAATTCATTTGGTTAGGGCTGCTCAATTATGGTAAAAATCATAATCACGATTATTTTGGTCAGTATTTAGATCATGATTATTTAAGACAATTACTCGTTGACTTTGGAAACATGCATTTATTGATTTTTTTAAAAAAAGTTTTAAAGCTTGTCTTTAAATAGGGAATTTGCTTGAACTTTAAATATAATTAATATAAATGTAAAATAATAAGAGAAATAAAATAAATAATGTATAAATATAAACATGGCCTAAGAGGAGAGGTAAAAAGGTCTCAAAAAGTCTTAGATTTAACTTTGTTATATCTGTAGACACTCTATTACAATATAATACATTTCAATGTATTTCTCGCTTTTTCCCCGATGGTCTGAAAAAGTTCTATATTTTTCACCAGCCACTTTTTAGAAAGTGAGTCACTAAGAGGGTCTAAAAAGTCGCTGTATCTAGGAAGAAAGTTGCTGAATTGGCACCACTGAGCACCAACTGTAAAGCAAAGGGATGTGCTAGATTTATAACACAAGACAAAATAAGCACATCATTGCAAAATGGAATACTGCTTCTCGATTGTTTAAAGTGATTAACTTATTTTCATAATCATTGGAAGCCAAAGTCATAATTAATAAATAAAATTTAGTTAATCACCCAGCCTGCTAAAGCCATAAGAAACACCAACCTCCTAAAGAGTTAATCAGCTAGAAGTGATGATAAGTAGCAAAAACAGAAGATACTGGAGGAAAATAATGATAATAATTATTTATATCTGATAAAATTAGATAAAATTATTTGATATGCCACTGGTATTATTGTTCACAGTTTACACAGCCCAGGCATCGTCATCACTCATAAACACCAGAACATTAGCATTGCACTTCAACATTAATTACATTTTATTTTTTTTCCCCCGGCGTTTATTGTATCTGCTTGCATCTGAACTTGCCTCTGAGACACTAAAACTCTCTACTAAAGGTCACAGAAATAATCACTTGCAGCTTGATTAGAAGCTCTGTATTTACAGGACAAGGTACGTTTCACTGCCCGGTTTTACAGACTGCTGAGTAAAATCCTCCCACAGCAACCTGAAATGATTCCTCTGGTCAGCCGTCTAACAAAAATGATAAAAAACATATTTACAGACTGTTGTCCGAGCAGAACCTTTGTCATATTACAGGTTAATAATAGATCGGCTTGATTTCAGATTTTTCATAAAAGACCAATATAAGCAAAGTAATATATTTTCCCTGCAGTTCTTGAAAGTAATGTATAAAAACGTTATTTACTGTGACCATACTGAATGACCATTCCTATCCAGTGACGATTCACTGACTGTAACATGATTTTAATCCTGAGCAATTTATTAAAGAATCTGTTGAAACTGTGTGAAACCTATTGGATATTCCCATGAGGAGAATAGATGATGAACTTCGATGAATGATGAATGTAAAGCTGAGTCTACTTCATGTCTCCACCTTTAAGGCCCTCCACAGTGGTATGAGTGTTGATCAGATCCACCAGCTGACAGCCATAGACAAGTGGTTCCTCCACAAACTCAACAGGATAACTCAGCTGGAGCAGCACCTGGCAAACTACAAGAGGTAACTTTATTTTAATACCATTATTTTTTTCCTGAGGTTTAATAGTAATAATAATGTTTGTTTGTGTGTGTGTGTGTGTTTATGTTTGCACACTTGCCTTTGTATGTGAGTGTATGCAGTGTGTAAATAGTGCTGTGACATCCTCAAGAGTCACTAGAGTAAAAGTAACATTTACTATGGTATTTGTCTGATGCTCTCCCTCTCTTTGATGGTTGAAAACATCTAGTCAAGTGGAACTGTCTCCTCCAAAATACAGTACATTCATCCGTCTGTAAAGTTGCTTTTGTTGACTATTGAAGACACACTCACAGATTGTTATCATTTTATAGAATATATTATAATTAATTTCTTAATTCCAAGATGGCTCAGTCACTGTCAGTCTCACCTCTTTGCCATATACATTTGTCTCCTGGTTAACTGCCCCATTATTTCTGCCATAGAGTTTGTTGGTTTGCAGTAGGGTTGGGTAATATGACCAATAAATTATATTGTAATATTCAAATGCTTTATTGCTATACATGATATATATCTAGATACTGTACTCTACTGTAGAGTACTACAATATAAACTACTAAATAAAGTTTTGCTGCAATAAAGTTAGATAAAGTACTGTTATAATAAAGTTGAATAAAGTACTGATATAATACAGTTAAATAAAGTACTGTTATGATAAAGTAAAGTATTGATATAATAAAGATAGATAAAGTACTGTTATCATAAAGTTAAATAAATTGCTGATAAAATATAGTTAAATAAAATACTGTTATAATGAAGTTTAATAAAGTACTGATCTGATACAGTTAAGTATTGATATAATAAAGGTAAATAAAGTGCTATTATAATAAGGTTAAATAAACTACTGGCATATTTAAGTTAAATAAAGTACTCTCATAATAAAGTCAAAAAAAGTACTGAAATTATAAAATGGAATAATAATCGATATGGTAACTTTTTAGTAACAGTACTTTATTTAACCTATAGTAAAGTATTGGTATAATAAAGTGCTTTTATGATAAGATTAAGTAAAATATTCAATCAATCAATCAATTTTATTTATAAAGCCCAATATCACAAATTACAATTTGCCTCACAGGGCTTTACAGCATACGACATCCCTCTGTCCTTATGACCCTC